ATCACAGGTGATGAAGGTGTTAGTTAATCTGATTGTGGTAATCCTTTTAGAATTTACACATTTATTAAATCATCATTTTATTTGTCAATTATACCTCTAGAAAGCTAGACAATAAACACTTTCAGAAAACATAAAAGCAGTAAGGACCTGACCCAAACACTGTTGCAGGAATACGATGTCCTGCGGAACTGGGAAAGCTACCTAAACTCCCTGGGCCTTTGTTTCCTGGAAATAGGGTAGGAAGACCTCATGAAAGTTAGCTGTGAGTAGCGTGCCTTTGAGTACAGACTCAGTGGGTTCCACTGGACCAGTAACATAGCATCCCTGGTCTCAATGTCCTCATCTGTAAAATGAGACAATACAGTCTACCCACAGAGTTGTTTCTAAGTTTTGAAATTGACTATGGAAAGTGCTTGCTCACAGCATTTGACACAAAAGAGAGACCCTGATACTTTCTGTAAAAAAAAAAATATATATATCTATACAAATGACTTACACAATAAAACTACTACCAATCTACTACCAATGAAAACAAATATCTTAGCCACCATGATTGATTGCTCTCTAGATCCCAATTTCTGTGCTTTTGCCTAAATCATGTGATAGCCCCCTGGTCCATCTATACTTTGCCAAATCTGCTTGACTGCTTTTTTTCTCTGTTTTTCCCTTATTGCATTTATAAAATTTTACCATTTTGAAGTGCATAGGAATTAAGTACATTCACAATGTTGTGCAAGAATCTCCACTAACTCGTTCCAGAACTTTTTATTACTCCAAAAGGAAACCTCATACCCTTTATCAGTCACTCCCCCTTCCTTCCTTGCCCCCTTCCCCCAGCCCCTGGAAACCACTGATCTCCTTTCTATCTCTACATACTATTTCATAGTATTTGCCTATGCTGAGTATTTCATGTAAGTGGCATCATACAATATGCGACCTTTTGTGACTGGCTTCTTTCACTCAACATAATGTTTTCAAGGTTCATTCATGTTGTAGCATGTGTCAGCATTTCACTTTTTTACGCTAATAGACTTTGTTTTTTAGAACAGTGTTCAGTCCACAGTAAAGTTGAGCAGAAAGGAACAGAGATTTCCCATATGCCCCTGGCCTCCCCCGGTTCCAGCATCCCTCACCAGAGTGATGCATTTGTTGCAGGTAAACTTACATTGACACATCATCACTCAGGGCCCGTCAGTTCACTCTTCCCGTTGCACACTCTTTGTATCTTTAGCTATTGTTTTCTCCCAGTCTACGACTTGTCTTGACAGCGTCTTTCACAGAGCAGTTTTTAATTTTATTGAAGTCCAGCATATCTATGATTTTTTTTTCATGCATCATGCCTTTGGTGTTATGTCTGAAAAGTCATTGCCAAATCTGAGGTCATGTAGGTCTTCTCCTATGTTATCTTCTAGGAGTTTCATAGTTTGTATTTTACATTGAGCTCTGTGATCCATTTTAAGTTATGTGTGTGTGTGTGTGTGTGTGTGTGTGTGTGTGTGTGTGTAGGGTGTAAGGTCTATATCTGCTTGCATTTATTTTGCATGTGCATGTCCAGATGTTCCAGCACCATTAGTTGACTCTTTTCTCCATCACACTACCTTTATTTCTCTGTCGTAGATCACTTGACTATGTTTATGTGGGTCTATTCTGTCCTATTGATCTGTTTGTCTGTTCTCTCACCAATACCACACGGTCTTGATTACTGTAGCTTCATTCTTTTTTTATGTCTGAATAATTGCGTTTAGGTGATATACCACTTTAATTTGTCCATGGATAGACATGTGGGTTATTCCTGCCTTTTGGTCATTGTGAATGAAGCTGCTATGAACATTTGTGTACACGTGTTTGTGTGGGTGTATGTTTTCATTTCTCTTGCGTATAAGCCTAGGAATAGAATTGCTGGGTCACATGGTAACTCTGAGTTTAACTTATTGAAGAAGCTGCTTGACTTCCTAAATGTTTTGGGTGAGTAAAAGCTGACTTCCTGACTCAGAGGCCCACATGGAGAGGAGCTGCCGCCAGCCGGCACCGCCTCACCAGCCGTGTGAGCGCGCCATCCTGGCGGTGGATCCTCCAGCCCCAGAGGAGCCACCTCAGCCGGTGCCTCCTGGACCAGAGATGGGCTGTTTCCAGTGAGCCCTGCCCACATTACACGTGTTGTTTTTAGCCACTAAGTTTGGGGGTGGTTTGTTAAGCAGCAATTGATAATTGGGGCATAGGCTTTCACACACACTTTATAGTCCAACTAAAACTCTAGCACCAGGTGATAGGTTAGAATAGATGATTGGCCATTGCCTCCAAAACAACGTGCACTGATTGTGCACCTTACGTGTATGCCCGTGGAAGCAACCAACAGCCATGTGGTCGGGCTCAAAGAAATAATGAGCTCAAGGCCACGAACTTGAGTCCTGCCTGGGCCACTTTCTAGCCAGGGAGGACTTAGACCGTGCATGTCAGCTTTGGTTCCTTCATCTGTAAGATAAAAAGTAAACTATCTACTAAGTTAGGACCCTTTGGAATAGAGAGAAAAAATTAACAAGCTTAATAAAAGGAACTTCAGGATTCACATAAATGAAAAGTTTGGAAGTGGAGTTCAGGATATAGGAATAGGAATTGTTTGGCTGAACAATATCATAGTCTCTCTGTGTCACTTTCTCTCAAATATCTCCTCTTTCTAAACTAATGTATCGACTGGCTGACCCTGGTGGTTCTTATTATGATAGCAAGATGCCCTTCAGTGATAACCATTAGGCTTCTTGGAGGGAAAAGTTTATTACTCACACCAGGGGGCACCCAGCAAGGCCCCTAGTGGAGAGAGAGCAGGGGCCTGGAGTTCTCCTTTGTTGGGGTCGAACGTGGAGGCCTGGGGTTTCATGGGCTCACTTTTTATTGGTGAATTTAAAATAGAAGAGCAAGAAGGTGAAGTGCGGGAAGAGAAGAAAACAAGTGGCCCAAAGGGCCAGTTATTAAGTCAACCAAGATCTTTAAACAAGGTGCCTCAGTGCGGGTGCCAGGCTCCTCAGCCAGTGTGTGGCTGGTGTCCTAGTACTGGAGGCAGCCGTCTTTGAAGTGGACGCCTCTTTGAAATGAATGCCAGGGCAGTCAAAGCTTCACTCCGACACTTGCATTACAAAAAAGAAAAGCCACTGTCAGGGCGCACACTACAGTTCCTCAGTGTTTGTGGTGCTGCTGGTGCAAACAGACTCCCTGTGGTGTAGACGCACAGCACATACAGCCACGGCAGGCCTGCCACCTGGGTGTGTAAGTGCCCTCCGCGATGCTGCACAACGATGAAAGCACCCAACGACCCATTTCTCAGAAGACATCTCTGTCATTAAGCGACACATGACCGAGTAAGCTTAAATATCATGGAAATTTCCAGAAAGAGCCACAAGACCCTGCAATCAGCAGTTCACTCTGGAAAAGAGAGACTTTTTCTTTTGACCTTTGAACTGCTGGTACGATAGATGGCTTTTACGTATTTTTAGTGGCAGAGATTTCGGTTTCTAGCGCCAACAGTTGAAGTGATGTAGGAGTCAGCTGTGAGGGATGTGCAGGTTGAGATGGGCTGATAATATTTTCTAAGCAAAGCAGAGCCCTGCTATGTGGCTCCGAGGAAAATAGGTAGACACAGACCTGCAGGGCTGGCCAGGGATGCGATCTACCTAAAATAGGCGGCTGAAGGTGGCAGGGCAGCCTGGATGGCCGAGGACATGCCCTTAAGAGCAAAGAGGACCTGTGAGTGTCAGCTGACCGCTTGCTCATGCCAGGAAGCCAGCACTCATCCAGGGCCTGCATGGCGCTCGGCATGTAGTACTGGCAGCAGGACCATTCTAAGCACTTTACGCATATAATCCATTAAACCCTCACAACAACCCAACAGAGTTTTATTTCCTCACTTTACAGATGATGAAACAGAGGCAGAGGTGAATGAATGAATGAAGCTACCTTGGGTAGCTACATTTCTAAAATGACCATGTAGGAGGATAAGCATAGACAGGGTGTCCCCCAAAAATGTATACACACTTCAACAGCTGATAGCTCAATTTTGAAAATGAAATGTATTTTAATGAACACTGCCTTTATAATTATTTAAAGTACGTGTAGACATTTTTGAGGGACACCCTATATTCCAGAGTTATTTTTTGTTGATTGCAACAAAGGCAATGAACCACGGGCCTGTCAGAGAATTGGGCGAAAGCTGTAGACCAACCATGCGTGTGATCACGGGATCCTTGGGTGCCCGGAGCCCAAAGTGGACGCAAGGTTCAGAACTCGTTCTGCCGGGTCTTTCAGACCTGAGACCCTGGGATAAGTTGTGATATTCCTTGTCCCCTTGAAGTTTCTAAGTTTAACACCCACACACACACCAAAAAGGTACAAACTTCTCCAGCTCTGTAGTCATCATTTCACGGGTAAAAGTGGGAAATAAATGCCATGTAGTCCAAAGTAAGTTTGTTTGTTATCTGGCACGTGCAAATATTACAAGTTGAATAATGAGGAGGACCATCTACTTTGTCCATATGTGGACAGTTTGTGCATGAAAGGGGCACCGCAGCCCGGGAGTCCTGGGCTAACCAGGGCGGCTTACTTGGGCAGAACACATTTGTATCGAATCATGTCTGTTTTATGGAGAAGGGGGACTGCCCCACCCACCCGCAGCTTTGGTTCCCATCCCTGCACTTTTGAACCTATTGTTCCCTGTACATATACACAGCGTGGCTTTGTGCTTGGTCTGGAGCGGCCCGAGGCCGGAGAGCTGCTCACTCCAGATTAGAGGTCAACACCAAGAGCAGGGACTTCGCCCTCCCCATGTGCCCTCACCTGCTCCCCGGGCTCACAGCAGGCCTGCCTCCCTGTCCTGCTCACCTCACTGTTTACCAGATCAAAGCACAGTGACCCCAGGGGCCTGGCCGCAGTGAAGGCCACTTGTCCCAGTGCACTCACCCCCTAAGCCAAACCAAGTGTCATCCCAGAAGCCAGGGCGGGCCTGGGTTGAAATTTAACTACCAAGGCTCATGGTTTGGGCGAGTTTTTACAATAAGAAGTGGGTCCAATCCACTCCACCGGTTTCCCAGTCAAAGTGAGGATAGCAGGAAAGACCCTCTCTTTATTGGGCTCCGCGGGGACAGACCCAAGATGCTCAGGACCCCGATGCTGGGCAGGAACCATGCGAAGTCCTCAGGCTTCTCCGTCTTGGCCAAGCAGGCGTGGGGGGCTCTACGAAGCCATCAGCTGAGGCCTGAGCGACTGTGCTCCCAGGTGCCCTGTGCGCAGAGAAGTAGGAATAACGCTTGTAAGTAGAATTTCCTAGTATCCTCCAGTTTCCCCAAATGCAATTAGATGTTTAGCTAATTTTAGGGTGTCTTTCAGAATGAAGGCAGCCTGGAGCCAGAAGGCTTGGGTTCAGATTTCCACTCCGTCTCTTTTCCTTTGGGCGACCTTAGACAAGTTCTTTAACCTGATTCATCCCGAAAGGCGGGGTTGGGAGGGCCAGAGGTTTGGAACAAGACAGGCACCCCTTCCCCAAGACAAGCTGTTATTATAAAACATCCAGCCCCGAAGGATCAAATGAGCCAGTATCAGAGCTTCAAACCTCCCCAGCAGAGAACATTCTCGGCAAACAGGCAGTAAGTACACCCAACCACTCTGTCCAGGGACTGCCCGCTCTGTCCGCCTCACTCCAGCATTTGCGTGCTTAATGCTCTGTGAACTTGGATGCATCCTTTCTACTTTCTGAGTCTCAGATTCTCCTCTCAGAAAAAGGGTCTGCATTGAAGGCTGATAAGGTGGCTTCTGAGGTAAATAGTCCACACTTCCCAGGACTGGGTAGTTCACAGAGCCCGGGCCTCAGAGCCAGCCGCTCCTGGGGCCAGGCAGTGGTGACACCTGTCTGCAGGGGGAGCTGGGTGGTGTCCTCATCTATACAATGGGATGACTTGGTGTCGCACGGGGCTGCATCGAGATGAACTGGTGCGTGGAAAGCCCGGCACACCCAGGCTCTCAGTGAGCACTGTTAGTTCTTTCCCATGAGACTGTGGGTCCACCCTGAGGACGATGCTGAACTCTGTCTCGAAACCACAGGGCATTTTAGAGGAGCACTCCAGGCTCCACTGGGGTTCTGCCAGGCCAGAACTCAGGCCGTGAAGCGAGGGCAGGCAGCCTGGGCCGTGCCGACCACACGCCCTGGGTAAGCCCGGGCTCAAGCTTTGAGAGGACTGTGGTGCTCAGGAGCTGCTATGGGCCTCCGAGAGCAGGGAACCCACCGAGTCCTCCAGGACGAGGGTGGCACAGAGATGGAAACCAAGGTCACCAGGATGCACTTCAAGCCCCCAACCAGCAGGGGCTGGGATGGAAGTCCGGTCCCACCCCCAGCCCCAGTCCTTTCAGTTACCCCCACTCCGAGTGGGGTGCTCAGACCAGCCGTTGCAGCACCACCTGGGAGCTTGCGAGAAATGAGGAACCTCAGGCCCCACCCCAGACTTACCTGAGATTTCAAACCATAAGAAGCATATTCACTCATAGAGAAGACCCTCCCGCAGGTCCCCCCCAGCCCCAATTCCCAGAGTGCTTTGCAGTGCAGCCGCCTGACGCTTTCCCCATGCAAAGAGAAACCTATCCACGCATCACAAAACTTTCCAAAAAGCAAAAAGTACTGCACTGCGCATGCTTGTCTGCATTTGGTTTTCTTTCTTAGCTGTACACATCTCCACACTGTCTCTCAGTAACTGTCCTCTCTGAGTGCTTAGTTCAACCATTAGGAGCATCAGACCACGTGGATGGAATCTTGGCCTCACCACTTTGTGGCTGCCTGCCCCTCGGCACGTTTCTTACCCTCTCAGAGCCTCAGTTTTCTCACCTGTAAAAGGTGAGTAATAAGCCCGTGGGTGTGGCTCAGTGGTTGAGCATCAACCCATGTACCAGGAGGTCACGGTTTGATTCCGGTCAGGCCACATGCCCGTGTTGCAGGCTCAATCCCCAGTAGGGGGCATGCCGGAGGCAGCTGATGGATGATTCTCTCATCATTAATGTTTCTAGCTCTCTCTCCCTCTCCCTTCCTCTCGGAAATCAATAAAAATATATTAAAAGAAATAAAAGAAAAGAGAGAAGAAAAGAAAGGCTTGGACCAGTGCTTGGCATCTTGTGAGAACTCTCTGAGCACTGTTATTATCGTCATGGGCCATCATACGCATGTCCCTGTATTTAGCCATTACCCTGTTGGGAGACATTGATGGTGTTCAATTTTTAATTCTTACAAACCATACTCTCCCACATCTTTCACACGTGTGCAGGACAGAATAACAAAGTAACTGTATCGAGTGCCTAAATCGATTTATGCTGTATTTATGCTGTAGTTTTCAAACTGCTGGTGGGGGAATCCCAGGGGTTCTCTTCACTGTTTTGTTTATTGGGATTTGGCAAAACATTTCATTTGTGGGGGAAAGAACACTTGCTACTAAAAATGATTGGGAATCACTGGTGGTGTGGTCCCAAGAGAGTCAGAGTTATGAAATGTTCAGAAATAATTTTAGGGACCATTTCAATGAAGCGTGCTCAGACCACGTTTCAGTGTGTGTGTAAGCTACCTTTTACCAGCAGCGGGCATCTCTTCCGAAGTCTGTGATCAGTGACTGTCGTGTTGGTAGCTTAAAGTCGGCCCTGGAAGGAGTATCCCCCGTGGTAATCAACAAACCTTCCACCTCAGAGCTTCTTCTCCCCAGCTGAGCTGGTCACTAACCTTCAGCAGCACACCAGTGCGTGCTCTCAAACATTTAGCAAGCCGTTCTTGCTCATTTGTCTGCAGGGCTTGGGTTCGGCTCACCCTGGCTGGGCTGGGCTCCAAGCTGGGTCGTCGGATCTGTTCAACATGCCTCTCATCCTTCCTGCACATGGGCCAACCTGGGACCCACGGGAGGAGCTCTGTGAACACTTACTGAACGGTTTAAGCGGCGTCACTCCTTTGCAGGCTGTGATGGGCAACACCTTTTCCTCAGTGGCAGGGACGGTGTCCACGCCGAGGTTTCATCGTTGGCGGCCCCTTCAGCCTTCATGAAATGTCACAAATGCACACTAAAGACCCCCACTCTTCTGCACCTTGCATCTCTGTGTGGGGGGCAGCTGAGTCCCCGGTCAGGTGAGGCTGCCTCTGTGACACTTAGCTGTTCCCGTGTCTGTCCATGCTAAGGGTCGTGCAGCCATGTAAATCCCCGTTTTCCCTTAGGGAGGATGGGTGTGAACATGACAGTGCATGGCAGTGTGTGTTAAATGTCGCTTCCCATCAGACACAATCATGGTTTATGCAGCTCAGAGGGGTTTGGGAGAGAACAGACAATGGAAGACCAGGCACTCGGGGTACAGATCTGGGTTAGAGCAGAAGGAGGCTGAACAAAGGACACCAGACAAAGGCGAGGCCGATTATCCGGCTCTGAGTCTGCTGTCATCCTTTCATCATCAGGAACTGGAGAGGCAGAGCGCTGGACAGCTGCAGGGTGCCCGGGCCGCTCTTTCTCTCAGCCCAGCCAGTCATTGCTTTAGGGCACTGGGCAGAGTGGGGGCTAACATGGATTCCACAACCTGCTATTATTATATACTACTAGAGGCCCGGTGCACGAAATTTGTGCACTCGGTGGGGGGCATGGTCCCTCAGCCTGGATTGCAAGAGGGTGCAGGCCAGGCTGAGGGACCCCACTGGTGCACGATTCGGGCTAGGGAGGGACACAGGAGGTTGGCCAGCCGGGAGGGACCGCTGGAGGGCTCCAGGGCATGTCCGGCCCATCTCACTCAGTCCTGATCTGCCAGACCCCAGCAGCGAGCTCACCTAACAGTCAAAGCATCTGCCACCTGGTGGTCAGTGCAAGTCATAGCGAGCAGTTGAGTGGCCTTAGCATATCATTAGCATACTAGAGGCCCGGTGCACGAAATTTGTGCACTCGGTGGGGGGCATGGTCCCTCAGCCTGGCCTGTGCCCTCTTGCAGTCTGGGGCCCCTCGGGGGCCCCTTCCCCTGGCTGCTGGCACCAGTTTTCCTCCGGCGCCCGGAACCCAGGCCTTCGCTCTTCGCCGGGAGGGGCCCAGGCCCTGGGGGCATGGTGGAGGCCAGCATGGCAGGAGAGGGGCTTAGCTCCTCGCCTGCCACGCACGGGCCCCAGGGGCGTGGTGGAGTGTCCACATCAGGGGGGCTCTCCAACCCCACCAGCCACCCTGGTATCTGACCAGCATTTGGTCTGAGAGGTCCCTGCCACTGGCACCACTTATTGTGCTCCACCAGGGGGCAGTGTCCTCCCCATACCCCTGATCTCAGAGCAGAGATTCC